TCAAATTTCAAGTCCTGGTGATTAAGGGTTAGCGCTTAAGTGTGGATCATCGCCAAATCTGACAGCCGATACCAGCAGAGTATCGCCTTTAGAACAAAAAATAAAAGATCCCAACTCAGCCTAGGAAGGCAAAAGCCGGTGTAGTACGCATTGCCTATAGTGAAAAATAAAAAAGATGAAAAATACGGAATCATTTAGAAAAGAGCATTAGTAGCATTCACAGAGTCAGACAGAGAATTCTTCACCGGGGGAAAGCACCCCTAACATTGACGAATCTGGTCGCATAATCCGCAGCCAGTTGGAGACTTTCAAGCTGCGCTGACAAGGATGACGAAAAGAAGCAGTCAGAGTTCTGTGAGGTCAGGGTTGTGAGAATAGAAGTCACCGCAAGGAATCTCACTAGTGATTCTAGCATCATCTTCAGCCAACCTTGCTTGAGCGGAATTGGTCCTATTCTCTGAGATGGTGAGCGCATCCTGCAGAGCATTCAGATGGAAGTCCATGCGCCCAAGATCGTTGAGACCATGCCCAAGCCTCATCTCTCTCCTGAAGAAGTCGGTGGACATCATTTCCATGGAAATCAGAGGATCCCGTGGGGGAGTTTACTCGAGCCACCACCTGCGCGCCTCTGGGACCGACGATCGTGCGGAGAAGAAGGATATGAAAGGTTAGATTAATCCGCTCAAGGATCACAAAACCATGTTCATCCTTACTCTTGGAGATGAGAATGTTGGTGCGGCAGCACAAACTCATCAAGAATATCATCAGTGGGTCGCTTGCTGTTCTCCATCTCTACGGTAAAGATGTCAATTTTGGATCTGAAGATGAGAGGAACAGTTCATGCTCAGGACGCAAGAAAATTAAGGTGTGGTAGATGGGTTTCTCGTCCATGACCATGGCCCGTATTTATAACCCAGAAGATGCGACGATAGGCCTCCTCAAGGCCGCGCAATCAGAATCGGTTATGGAAAGGAATCGTCACTCCAGAGATCGAGGGGACAATTTGCAAAAAATTAGGAGACGCAACAGATTCGGAATTTATTGCTTTCCATGATTATGATACCTTGGATCCTGAAGGATTATTACAAGAAAGATTACACCTGGAACCGACTAGCCAACCCAAGAAGACTCTATTGGATTGAAGGGAGTCTGAACCCCACAAAGCAAAAAAACGTGAGTCACATCGGCTAAGAGATGGAAGTAGCATCAGGGGGAGAAGGAAGTAGACTTATTCGTCAAGAATGCACTTTTAACCTCACAGGCTTCTCGCCATAGACAGAGTAAATAAGGGGAAGGTGTCCACACATTCGAGCCCTTGCAAACACTGGAATAGCCTTATACCGATGGTGAGAAGACTCAGGTGATATCACAAGATTTCTTCTAGCCACGACGACTGATTCCCTTGCTTGACAAGGCACTAAAATGGTCGATACAATCACCCTAAACACAAAAATTCTTCTAGCCACCAGGGGTTTTCATGGTGAACCATTGGTCCAAAATCCAACGAAGCCTAGAGCGCTCGGAAAAGCAGAAGCAAGAAGAACATGGCTGGATAGGCACGCTCGGTCGTTCTTATCAAGATCGGAGATTTATAGTCGACTAGAGAAACTGAATCCAAACACCCATGAAGCAATAGTGCACCCGTGGAACTTTGGGACGTAGGGTGCCCACAAAGAAGTGGCATACCCATGAAGCATGCAAACGATCGAGAGCATAAAGAAGAACAGAGATGTGAGCCCCAGGGTAAAGTTCTTGGTCCCTGTTGAAGACACGTCAATGGCCTCAAGATAGCACATAAGATAATTTCATAATAAAATCACTTTTATCCTAAAATTGGGGGGCATGTGTTGACACAGAAATTTGGTTCGAGACGGGAAGTCCCTAAAGACAAGAAATTATCAGGAGAAGCCGAGTCCTCCAATCAAATCGGCTAAACAGATTGCTAGTTCAGCTAGCGAAATGGCGACATCAAGGGAATGGACCATGTTGGCAGGATCGGCGAGGCACGAAGCAAGAAGACACGTTGGACTCCACATAAGAGAAAGATTGGAGTCCAAGTTATCTTAAATTAGGGAGTTTTTCTTTTTCAAGTTTGTAACCGGTCTTACTTGACCAGAACTCAAAGTCAATCCTTGGGTATAAATATTAAACCTCGGCCATTGTATTGGATATCTCCAACAATCAATACAAATCAGTACCTTTACTTTTTTGGCTCACGCCACCACTTAGGAGTAGGAGTAGAGTAGTTTTCGACTAGTTCTTCGGCGAGCAGGGCTGCATCGGTTAGGTCCGACCTCCGGTTTGTCTGTGAGTATCCGTCACTACTTATACCTTGTTTGTAAGGCTACATCGGTTAGGTCTAACATATTGCAAGCTTTATATAAGTTAGTTATCATCAGTTGATTGTAAGGCTACCCTCGGTTAAGTCTGATCTCTTGTAATTGCTGATAGTTATCCTCGATTCTTATCAAAATCCACACGGCTGCCCTCGATTAAGTCTGATCTCGTATGAATTTTGATACGAAAACCCTACCCAATTAAGATTGAGATAGATCGGGTTTATATTTCTTTTTGAATCGTCATCTCGTCGCACTACAATGTTTACATCCCGCTTTGACGATGGTTCTTGCTAGTCTAGCCGTTCTGTTCCGATCTCAATCGAAGATAGCGTGTGGTAAAGGCATGTTTAGCCCTAGGTGAGGCTTGCTAGTTGACGAAATCCGGTCTAGAAGTGCTTTTATGGCTGTATCGGTTAGGTCTGACCCCACTACTAGCATCATAGATTGGAAATCGTCAGGTGGTAAGCCTTGCTTATGGCCATGCATAGTCTTTGGCCGAATGCTATGTCTGCATCGGCTATTTAGCCGATCGCCTGAGCTCTCACGATCATAGTGTGTTCCCACGATCTTGTTAAGCGTTTATAGATCCATATGCTTTGAAAGTTTAATCTGTTATCCTTATTATGACTGTATCGGTTAAGTCTGACCCCCACTGATAAAGATAGTAGATTGGATCAGATAGGCGTACTAGTTTATACACATTTAATGGTTGAGTGGTAGCATGCTATGACCCTTTTTCACTGGAATCGGCTATTTAGCTGGTAGCCTGTCTTTTGAGAATATGTATTGGCTGTTTACATGCTCTTTACTTGTTCTTGTCTTGGTTAAAAGCTAGTTTGTTTCTCAATCAAATCATATACTTTCATGCCTTTCTTTTTACATCTTTTGTATGCTTTCATGATGATCGACAGGCTAGATCTATATAATTGACTAACTGATGATTGCCGATATGCTCATTTTATTTATCATACATCATGAACAAGCTGGATATTGACTCTCTAGTCAATAGCATTGTCTCGCTGGCCACTTGGTTGTACATTTGGAACTATCTAGACAAACGACCAGCATGTTCCACCTTAAATTACTGATCAATCTTGCTCCCTTGTCAATTGCAGAACAAATTGACTAGCAAGCCCCCCGAGGTCACGACAGTCTGGTCCGATGGTGCCCTTCCAAAGCCTAGAGAGAAGCTCAGGATCTGCTCCGCGCTAGGCCTCTCGCCGGCGTTGATCACTGTGTTCCCGGCGCCTGATTTTCAGCGTCGACATCCCCATGGATATAATACTCGATAATACTTTAGGTGAAAACTACTTCGATACCCGTGCGCTTGTGGATTTTGTCTATGTGCCACCACAGGTGTCAGCACTCGGCCACCGGGTACAGCGACGGCGTGAAGTAGAGGTCGCTGTACAACAGCAATTAGTTGACCTTGCCGAGCACGAGCTGGTGCTCACTGCAGAAGAAGAGCGGGTCCTTGAGCTAAAACCCTAAGCTTTGGTACACGTACGGCGGCACGCCCGCTGTCGCGTTCGTGGCCAAGCGACCACCTTAGCCTTGTGCAGACTCGTGTGTGACCGCTCGATGCGCTGTCCCTATAGGACCAGGTTAGCGACGGGGAAGTCGTCTTCCATCAGGAGGCGCCACATCGTGCCCAAGAATAGCTCGCAGTAGAGGTCGGTCGAGTCTAGGGATAGGGCGACGAGTAAGATGCAGCCCGTCAGCAGCGGGTAGAAGAAGGTGCTCACCATGGATTGCATGTGGTTGCCGAGGCTGTCGAAGGGGAGCCACACGACATAGGTGCACTCCATGATGCAGGCGTTGCGGCCAGACCAGAGCTGCTCCATGAACTTGGCATAGAGCGGCGTGCTGGGGGCGCACCGCCTGTCCCGGGCCTCGTAGGCGCGCGGCTTGTCTCCGAGGTACAACGACGCTGCATACGGGAAGTGCTTATATATGTTACCGCCATGGCTCGTACCAGCTCCGGCACGACCGCCGGTCCATGCCCGCCGGGAGAAGCCTGCCGAGGAGCTCATCGTGGCCATGAGGAGCTTTCGTCGTTGAAAGCCCTAGAGCCACGATGTACGAAGGGAACAAGGCCTGTGGCGTTTTAGCCTAAAGCTTGATAGTAAAGACGGCAGGGAGCATTTCGGAAGAGGCTTGCCGGAAAGTGCATTGGAGACCCGCTTGCGTGTGGGAAAGGCCCAAGCCTATCCACGGAGTTATCCGACCAGGAGCTTGGCCCTTACGGAGGCTTCCTTGCGAGAGGCTCCAGTGAGCACTAGGGGAAGCTTGCGCGTTTCTCGATACCTTGATAAAATTACTAGAGTCGTCGATGGGAGTTTGCGTCTCTACCTCATCTTTAGTTATCGCATTTATATTGCAATCTTGGTTTTGTGCTTTACCTTTCTTAGCATAGTAAATAGGCTAGTTGATAGGATTAGAACCTAGATTTCGTAACTCTTTTACAGTAGAGATAGCAACACAATAGTAAAACCAAAGTTACACATTTAGATATTTCATTTATTTGCATAGGTTTTGCTAAGATGAAAATTAGAAATATAGTTAGAAGTAGATTTTTACGTTCTTTAATTCATACCCTCTTAGGCGTCACGGTCATTACAGAAGGAAAATGCATATGGAAAAGTAACAACGCCACGCCGCCTAGTCAAAAAACTTGACCCCATCCTTGAAATCCTCGCAGACCTTGATATGGCGTGCTAGGTCCTCCTCGTTAGCGGGCTTGTCCCGGCACTTGAGGCCCTGGGGCGGCGTGAGGTTGCAGGGCTCCATGGACACTGCCCGCTGGCACGGCGTCTCAGGAACCATGTGGTTGAACGCGGTGAGCAGGATTGCTGGCCGGATGCCGGCGAGGCCGCTGCTGACGTACCCAAACGTGGAAAGGCCGGATGTGACCAGCTCCTCGGAGAAGCTGAGCAAGTATATCTCCATGAGCGCCTTCTGGTTGTGCGCCAGGTTCTCAGTCGCCTGCCGCTCCTCGTGTGTCCGCTGGAACACGCTTACCCTTGTCGCGCCGCCGCCCTTCGCCACGTGCGGCGTGGAGTACCACGACCACAGCCTCTTGTAGTAGTCGGAGTACAGCGACGCGATGAACATGGCCGTGGAGTTGTTGGAGCCATTGCCATCGCCGCCAGTCACCGCGGTCGGCGTCACAGCCTTGTCATCGTCGTTGGTGGTTTCTGGTAGTATGTGCTCCTGCCTGGAGCAATTGAGGATCTGGTTGTACATGTCATCGGGCATATGTTTAAATGCTAATTAGAAGGAGCAAACATAAACTAATTTCAAAACTAATTGCATAAGCGGTGACTAGTTGGTGAGACAAATCTATTAGTCATAATTATTCCATGATTAGCTAAAATTTACTGTAGCACTATATGAGCTAGTCATGGGCTAGGCCAGAAGCTCCTGACAGAGCTAGGGAAGAAGGGGCACTCCCAAGCTAGGGAACAAGCCAACTGGACCTGACACGGAGAGGTCAGGGTCCGGAGGTGGTTGGCTACATGCGTAGAGAGGGTCAAGGGCGACTAGCAATAGCAGCATTGGGGGTCGCGTGAAGAGGGAGGCATTGGGGGTTGGGGGCGCAAGCGGAGAGGGAGTCATCATGGGTTGGCAGTACAAGCGGATCAAGGCCAAGGCCGGCGAGGATCAAGAGTGGTGACGAGCAAAGGAGGCGCACAGATTAGGGGCTATTGGGGAGGCCATCAATGAGGGAGGCACCGAGAGGCTGCTACCAATAAGGGAGGCGGCGGGGGTCGGTGACGCCTGTGGAGAGGGATGTGGCACGGAGGTGCTCGGGCCTAGGTTCACCCAATAAAGCCGGGTGAGGCTATGTGGGTAAGACTCTTAGTTGAATGTTGAATACCAAAGGTATTGGGGATGTAATTCTAAAACTCAATTCCATGGGCATTAAACAACAGAGTTCATGAAACCCAGTTTCAATTTCCAGTTCTAGGCTCCAATATCTATATCTAAATAGAATATTAAATGTCTTAGGAACTACTCCCTCCGGTTCTATAAAGCAAGTCGTTTTGGACATTGACATGGTCTTTAAGAAACGACTTTGACTGCAACTTTTTGCTATAAAATATTTATAAAATATAGTCAATATATACTTTTATTAAACTACATTTCGAGATGAATCTACTTACATAACTTTCATATTTTCAAACTCAACCCAAAAGAAGTTATTTGTAGTCAAAGTTTATAATGTTTGACTTAAGACAACCTCAAAACGACTTGTTTTAGAGAACCGGAGAGAGTACACACTCAGAGAATGAAGGCGTAATAGGATCGCAAATATTCCTTTGTAAAACCAGAATTTTTATCAGAAATACTCCTTGGCAGGCGACTGAGACGTTGCAAATGCATCGGTAACCTGCCTTTTGACGAGGTGAACCCAATGCCTTCCCACCCGCCTCATCTCAGGCCCGGACGAGTGGGTTCGTGTGCGTGCAGCACGACAGGAACGGATGGACCCAGTCGGCCAGGCCTCAACTGGCGTAGGCGTGCGGCTGGGCTCTGCCTTGTGCGCGCGCAGCTGCTGCTGCCTGCTGGCCTCCGCAGACCGCGGTTGTGTGCGTGCGGCGGGGATCCTGCCGTGCTCTTTCCTCCCGTCCGTGATTCCGCATCCAGTCCGACTCTGACCGAGGAAGGCAAGGCTTGACCAACGCGTGCTCGAGCGTTGTTTCCTTCGTTTCTGCTCACCGGAGGAAGAAGGTGACCGATGGTTAAGCAAACCATCAGTCACCTAAGGAGGAGACAAACCCATTTTTTATTTATACCAATTCTACCTCGAAAACACACCAAAATAATCACCGTAAACAGAAACTCCAATAGTCTATCTAAAAGTAGATTGCAAAAGAATGTGTCTACGTGACATTCGGTTGTTTTTGGCCCGGCTATCAACTGAATTTTTCCAATACACTTACATTGTCTTCTACCTATATTTATATTAAATTATTACTATATTTACAATGACTTGTTCAGTGTAATTATTGGACATAGTGGTGTAATTTGAGAATAACACAAATATATGCCAAATTTTTCAGAAAAATTTACAAATTATTTCTAAGGATTCTAGATATTAGAGAAATATATATCAAATTATTCACAAATATCATCAAATTGTTCACAAATTATTCACAAATTTCAGAAAAAATACAAATATATATGTGGGCTGAGCGTACACGGTACATACTATGTGTATGTATTCCGCTAGGGCTATACACGGGCGTAGACGTGGGCGTACACAGACCAACCACGGAGGTACGTGCGTGTATTCTGGAGGACTGGGACCTGGAACGCTGGAGCACGAGCATGTGGTGGGAACCGGCAGCCCGTCTCACACGACCAACTGATGGAGCACCGCGACCATGCGATTCCTGATATGGCGGCCACGAAATCGCATGTCACATGGGGCTAAATCAGCCGACTGACTTATAGCAATTCTGTTGCAAAAAATAGGATTTAGGAATTCTCAAAAAAAAATAGTTCATCAAAAAACTAGAGTACTCCAACCGTTTTTGTATAATTAGGCGATCTCCATGTTTGAAACTGCCCCGTCATCGCAGCCATGCTGCTCAGCTAGCGCTACCGTGGTCGCCGTCATGTCGACGGTGATGCGGCACTGCACGGTGTAGGAATCATCCGCCAGGTAGCCAGACGCCACCAGATCGTCTCTTGCCGTCACCTCGAGTGGACCAAAGAAATCCCCGGACTTGCAGAACTTGTGCGATATGCTCTTCTTCTCCGACGGCTCCAGCCTCCCGGCCGGATCAACCAGGTGGCAGCTGAGCTTGGCCTTGACATCACCACCGCGCGCTTCGGAGAGCAAGACGAGCTTGAGCGTCACCGGCCGATGGCGGCCAGCCCAGTGATCCTTGGGACGCAAGTGGACCGCCCAGTCGTGGCCACCGACGGACCGTTTCTTGGACGTGATGAACTCGCCGTCACTCATGGCCATGGTCTCCGAATGGCCTTCCACCTTGAGCAGGAGGTCCATGGAGCGGGCAACCTCGGTGTCGGTGAGGTTTGGCATGGTGGCGAATCTGTTTGTGTTCTTGCTAAAACATTTGCCCAACAAGCCCAATTTATGGACATCGCAGATTCAGCTACAAGCTTGAACTGAGATGTCAACCACTTGATGCACTTAATACTGATCCCGATTATATCGGTGTCTTCCGAGATTCGTAGGCTCATGAGTAAAAAGAAGTGTTCCTCCAGCTTCCTAAGATCATTATATTCATAACATAGTGTGGTGTGACCTCTACGCCACGCCCTTCCACAATAACGGGATGTAGGTCTAAACTGAGGGATTGCCTTCGATTCTTTACGATTTGACAACTAAGAGTTTTCCCTTCAAGAAGATGCCTAAGGAAGGGGTAGCGGAAGGTGTCATGCCGCAGCGGCCAATCGGACTCCACCTCTGCTACAATCCTTTCAGCCCAGTCTGCATACCTCTCAAATATTTGGGCAACGGAGGAACTCAACTTTTTCTCCTTGCCCGAGCCAACAAGAGAAGTGATGGAAAAGTTTGGAGCCATATCTGCGATCCATTGAATGTACGAGGAACTCCTTACCACTGCTTGCCCCTTCTTTTTGTGCTTGTTGAAGTTCTATCCCCTCCATATATATAAACTCTCTCGAGAACCTTCCTGCTACGTAGCAAGGAGACATATGTGATTGGTATCCTCCCTGTCTTCTCAAGGGCAATATCCAACCGAGAGAGTACAATCTCGAGCCTTGCGATGGTGTCTGCCCTGGACACCTTGTCTTCTACCTTGGTTGAGATGTACGAGAACACTTTGCTCGTACTCTGCTCAATGCCAGCTGAAGATAGCGCCATCAGGTTACCGTACAGCTGTTCAAGAAACAAATATATGAAGCTTGAATTCAATATTACAGACATGGAATCTTACTATCTTACTGAGAAGAAACATTATTATAGACCTTTCTTGTTAACGAAATTAATTATCACGAGACATGTTAGAAGAAAAGGATAAATTTGTAAACCTCTTGCAAAAATAAATGTATCCTGCCAATGATTTGTTATACTCTAATTGTCATCAACACAAATAGCTGTTGGGTCTATTTTGTTTTCTAAAAAATTATCCACCTCTGATGTTATGAAAATACACAAAAGTAATCCCCTAAATCTATCAAAATTTGCCACGTTTTACCTATATCACTATGACGAATAACCTGAAGTAATCCATAATCTTCTTGTCAATTACCCATATATGCCATCATGATTTTGTATTTAGGTGAGTTGTATCCATGGGTGTTAAAATAATCTAAAGTAATCCCAACTCTTCTGTTATATAAATAATGTAAAGGAATACCCTAAAAATGTGCATCTAAATATCTCACGTATGCTACTCTATAAAACTAACCAACAATAACCCTTAACAAAAGTAATGAAGCTACTGTGGGGATTCCACCAACCTGTTGATGAATACATGCATCGTTGGTTAGTTAGTTTAGTACTCTAAATTTTTATCCCACAAGCAGTACTAGATAAATGTAGTGCAAATCTGTGACAAATGCTTGGGCTATTACCGATGCATGCGTGGAATATATATGCTTAATGTTAATCCTCGCCTTAGCGCTGGCCCTCAAGATCCTGGAGTTCGCACCAACAGATGGAATGAAGGGGAGATGAATATTTATATCAGGAAAAGATCAAACAAGAGATGCACTGCACAGTGCACACACTGCTGCTCTAGTGTTTCTTAGTATTGCTGAGTCTACGAGCTGTAAGGAACTAAGGAGAGATGAGAAGCAAAAATGTACACTAGAGCCAAGCTGTAGAAACATGTCCGGTTGGAAAAGTCAAGGAAGCGCTGAGGATGCTTCTTAGCAACTTCCTTGCAGCATACAAGCATCAATCATGGCCTAGGAGCGATTTCTGAATGCGACGACTCGAAAACTCGTACGACCATGGTCGGCCTCGGTCGTCGCTGTTGGATTTACCGCGTTCAGTAAATATACAGCGGTGCAAAGAACATCATCTATCTGATGATGACCCGCCGGGTCCTTACTACCTTAGGGCGCGTTTACTTCCGAAAATTTTTAGCTTTTGGCTACTGTAGCACTTTCGTTTGTATTTGACAAAAATTATCCAATTATGGACTATTTAGGCTTAAAAGATTCGTCTCTCGATTTCTCGGCTAACTGTGTAGTTAGTTTTTTTTTTCGTCTACATTTAGTACTCCATGCATGTGCCGCAAGATTCGATGTGACAGGGAATCTTGAAAATTTTTGGTTTTTTTGTGCCATCTAAACAGGGCCTTACCATCTCACTCTAAGATAACTGAATCACCAACATGCTTTAGCATTTATTTTGCTTTATCACAATGTTTTGGCCACAAGCAATATGAATGCACGTCATGGATGTACTGTACAAGTCATGCATGTTTGCTTTTGCCTTTTTCACTGTTGGGCTGACTCAGCTGTCCAGCCAATGACTTGCATGGAGTCGCTGGAACGTTCAAGGAAATGCAGAGGCAGCTTCCCCCGCCGTGTGCCTATCAAGGTTGCCCAAGCAAATGATCAAGACAAGTTCACAAGGACTTAAAGGCCTGGTTTAGTTTGCTCCCAACTCCCAATTTTGGCACTATGCAAAAAGAATTTACCGTCACATTAAACTTGGGGTACATGCATGAAGTACTAAATTTAGACAAAATCAAAAACTAATTGCATAGTTAGGTTGTACTTTGCGAGACAAACGTTTTGAGCCTAATTAATCAACGGTTAGACAATTATTATCAAATACAAACGAAATGCTACAGTGCAGTACCGTGCAATGAATCCGGCAGCGTTGAATTCGGCCAACTAAACAAGACCTAAGCTGCACTGCTTTACAATCTGACAGCAGTGACTTGCATGTGGCGTCTGCGCAATACTGCCTGGTGTCTGCCACCCTGCCGCCCGGGGTAGCTAGGTTGCTACAAGCCTCTACTCCCTCCGTCCCATTAAGTTTGTCGTTGGAAAACCGTGCCCCCTTACAAGCCTCTAATCTTAACGGGACGGAGGGAGTACAACCACAAGTTCACCAAGGAGCTAGAGCTGGAGGTAGCTAGCTGCACTACTGCACATTCTGAAAGCATGCAATGACTTGCAAGCCTTCGGTCTACTCATCGTCGCCTCACAATGCAATGACTTAGGCGTGTTTAGTTCCCAAAATTTTTCAAGATTCTCCGTCACATCGAATCTTTGGACGCATACATGAAGCATTAAATATAAATAAAAAATAAAACTAATTATACAGTTTAGACGAAATTTACGAGACGAATCTTTTAAGCCTAATTAGACTATTATTGGACACTAATTGTCAAATAACAACGAAAGTGCTACAGTACTATTTCCCAAAAAATTTGCCAACTAAACACTACCTTAGTTCGTGAAATTAAAATTTTTGGATGTCACATCGAATGTTTCGGGATGTCGGAAGGGGTTTTCGGATACTAATAAAAAAACTAATTACATAGCTCATCTGAAAACTGCGAGACGAATTTATTAAGCCTAATTAATCCATCATTAGCGCATGTTAGTTATTGTATCACTTATGACTAATCATGGACTAATTAGTCTTAAAACATTCGTCTCGCGATTTCCAATCAAATTGTACAATTAGTTTTTTTCGTCTATATTTAATACTCCATGCATGTGCCGTAAGATTCGATATAATAATTTGAGGTGAAAATTTTTGGGAACTAAATCAGGCCTTACATTAATTGTCTGCCACTCTGCCGGCCGGGGTACTTAGGTTGCTACAAGCCTCTACAACCACGAGTTCACCCAGGAGATGATGTATATAAGCCGGACGATGTTGTTTTGTTGTGAGAAAAAAATACTATATCACGACTGATAAGTCGGGTTGATAAGTTCAAGTGAACAGGGACTAGAGCCGGAGGTAGCTGCACAACTGCACATTCTGATAATAATAATTACGTGCACGGATTCTCGGTGGAGTATTTGTAGGCATATTTAGGAGAGAGAAGCTTGGAGTAGAAGCCAAGATCGTCTAATCCTATTCTATCACTAGGAATCTATCATTTCTCTAGAGTAAGTTACTTTTCATCTCTAATTATTTCACATCATTTATACTCCCTCCATTCCAAAATAAAAGACGTTCTCGCTTCCCGAGAAACAACTGCCGGCAATTATATATTAAAATATATAAATATTTATGCTAAGTAATTAGTATCATCGAAAAGATCTTTTTATCTAGTTTTTTAACAAATTTATTTGAAGATATAAATATTATACGTATTTTCTACAAATCGAGTCAAACTTATGGCACGAACATCCAAAACGTCGTTTATTTTGAGATAAAGGGAGTAGTACGTATGTCTATTTCCAACATAAATATGCAAGGTTGCTGGCGCTAGTGGCACTTATGGACATCTCACAAGTCTGGTATGTTCACACACAGCTGTGAGCAGCTGTCAAACTACTGCCACACTAATTAAGGAAATATTTGGATCCAGAGACTAAAATTTAGAAGGTGTCATGTGAGGATGTTGTATGGGCTGTTCGGATACTAATAAAAAACAAATTATAGAATCCGTCAGTACTCCACGAGACGAATTTATTAAGCCTAATTAATTCGTCATTAGCACATGCTACTGTAGCACCACATTGTCAAATCATGAGCCAATTAGGCTTAAAAGAGTTATCTCGCAAGTTAGTTGCAAACTATGCAATTAATTTCGTAATTAATCTATATTTAATACTCCATATATGTGTCAATCTCTAATAGGACAACGACTAAACTTTAGGAGGAGTAACCAAATACCCCTAAGACTCTGTTCGCTGGGATGAATCTGGAATCTACGAGAGAGTGAACAGTGAAAACCAGACATATACAGTAAAAAAACGGCTGGTTTTCAGGGCAGCCGAACTGCCGCTAAGTCAGTCTTTGGGTGCTAAAGGTGCTACGTACTTGCACGTACGGTTCGGTGGCGGTTCCAGGTCGGAATTTAGGTCCGTTTGGATGCCGAAAAATTTAGCAAAATAATACTGTAGCGTTTTTCGTTGTTATTTAATAATTAATGTCCAATCATAGTCTAATTAGGCTTAAAAGATTTGTTTCCGTGGATTTCGTCTAAACTGTGTAATTAGTTTTATTTTTTATTTATATTTAATGTTTCATGTATGCGTCCAAAGATTCGATGCGATGAGGAATCTTGAAAAATTTGGCATTTTGGGAGGAACTAAACTGGACCTTATTCCGCCTGCAGCTGCTAGGAAATTTAACAGGAGTACTTATCACATGCAAATGCAATGCACCCTCTGACCTCTTGTGCATCGCTACATGCGTCATGCGTCATAAGTCAGCAACTAATTAGCAAGTCCTAACTCGTCGCCTCACAATTTGTATTATTAATTGTAGTACGTGCGTGGTCCGCACATGCCTACAGGATTGCAGTAAGTGGGTACACTATTCACACGTTACTGCCTGCCTCCTTATTATTGCGTGGTCCTCTGGAGACTAGTGGGTATTAAATAAGCTGGTGGCATCAAGGCTGTTTAGTTTTCA